TAGGCATACAGAGAATTGGGCTGGAGACCACAAAAGCTTAATCTATTATAAATTTGTTAGTCTCTAAGGTGCCACAAGTACTCCTGTTCTTTTTGCAAAGTTACACAGTAAATTTGATCGTCTAGTTTAGAGTCTTTAAATTGTTGTCATTGTTTTGAGGTTAGCAATGGCTGAGCAGAACAAGATTTTCAGTCTAAACAAACAATTGCAACAGATTTAAGAGAGTTTGACAGATTGCATAAGCTAATTTATATTTTCCATTTAGAAGAGATTGCTTTTTTTCAGACACTTTGGAAGGTGAGGGCGAATGGGTTCAGGAAGTTGCAGAATTATGGCTCACGCATTGTTCAGCAAGCCCAACTGCAGAGATATCAGATCAGGTGCCGTGGCTGCACCTCTTCTCAGACATATACAAAGTGTTGTTCTTAGTAGTAGTTATTGTATGAAATATTTTTAGATGTTTCCAATAAACTTCTGGATTTGACAAGATTTGACCTTTATAGGGTACAGCAAGTTCCAGATGCATGGCCACATGAAGCTAGCTGTTGATATTGCATTATGTTCTGCCAACACTCCTGATGCAAATGAAGTCACAGCGGTTATGGGATCAAGCCAACAATCATTCCTAATTGTCTCGTCTCACTGACGTTGCTGTAGTTTGAGACAGCTCAGCTGGCTTGGTAATCCAACCTTAAAAAGAAGAAACTGTGAAATACAGCTGCAACCAATTTGGTATTTGATCTGGAAGAGAGCTGTCTGAACTCATATAATGTTGAGCTCTGCTTAGTTTCTGAAAGGGGGCTGATATATCATTTACCCACCACCAGATCATAAGAAATAGTTTGTAATTTGAGGGAAGTAGAGCAGTTAAGAAGGTAGCTTGCTGAGAGAGACAATACATTTCTTTCTTGTATAGTCAAGAATAGAAATGTTGGCTCTGTTTGCATTATCTAAGAGTTTCTCAAACAGTGAGGCTTTAGTGGGTCCTAAGAAATCCAAGGCTCAGATGGGAGACTACCCTGTTTAAAACTTTGCTAAGAACACAAGAGCAGTGTTTCAAACTCTAATCTATCTTTCTTGTAGTGTGAATGTAGTTTGGTCAGATTTGCAAAACTGAAGTAAAAGGTTTAAGTCAAATTCAGAGTAAGGTTGTTTCACCTGAAACTCTTTGTATAGTTATTCAGGAAAGATGCAGAATATGCTTTCCATACCCTTCAATGTGAATTTACTTCACTGCAGCATCATAGCACTTGAGCCCCTGTTACCTGCCATTTGGAAGTAGGCAGGTAAAATTATCACCAGCCTCTATTCCTTCCATTCACAGAAGACTTTGATACATTCATTAACTCTCCTTTCCTGGACTGCTCCCCATCACTGGTTTGCACAAGTCACAAAAAGGCAAAGCCAGTGAAATGAGTAGGTCCACATGAAGCAGCAGTATCAGTGTATTAAAAACACATACATATTAAGGTGTGTCAGTTACACCTCAACAAGATTAACCTCTCAAGAACAAAGAAGGTCCCAAACTAAATGATAAAACATTAGATAATACTGTATCTGTTTTGAAAGTGAATGTTACTGGCCAAGAAAAGTTCATCCTAACACAAGATTTTATTTATTTTTTTAATCATGGCTTCAGTAAGGAAATGCATTTGTCATGCAGTGATACAAAAATAAACCTTGCCATGTGATTGAGAACAGAATCAGCTACAGTCTTTCCAGTTTGTCTGTGAGTTCAGCAAAAGAATGGGAGAGGGAAGAGAGAGAGAGTGAGTTGTCTTTCATTTCAATGCTGAAATAGGTCTGTGCAGCTTATGGACTTTCTTGCCTGCTGGTGTCTGCTTAGGATTCTTAGCAGCTGTCAAAAGACATACAATCTAACCAGTCAACCATTTGTAACTAAATGCTGTGCAGCCATGAATTCTATGGCATTACCCAACAGAAAATTCATACAGAAATATGGGTCACCTAGAAACCCAGGAGGAAAAAGGGGAGACAGAATAGATGGTATAGTGGACAGCATCATCAACATTAATAATGGTTAGCACTCATAGAGTGCCTTTTATCTGAGGATCTCCGTGTTTTACAAAACATTCATTAAAATATAATGAAAGTTTTAAAACGGCCAACACCTACTGTGGTGAAACCATTCTTTGTTTGAAGCTATGAGAGAATCTCATACCTTGACAACACCCCACCAGAATTCCTTAATGGGGAGGAGGAAGAGCTGAGAGTTTGCCATTTTGATCATTACTAAGCAAGCTTTAAAACAGTTTTGTAACACTGGAGCAACACAAAACTGCTTCATTGCACAGGAGGATCTGGCCCAGTACCTTTTGTTACTTTTCAATCCATTTTTAAACATTCTGTTTTAGTGTGTAGCTATTACACCTCTAAGTCCTGTTGATATCAGCACTGCTTCTGTGTTCTGAAAGGGAAGGGAAGAGGATGGAAGAGAGAACTAGAAAACCCTTGTTTTCAAAAATCAGCCCCTTAGTTGCGTACAAAATATAAGCATATATAAAATATGCTGCACTGATTGGTGCTCTTCAAATACCTAGGGTAGAAAAGGTAAATTGCACATGTAAAATATGCTGTTATGTGTACAAAGTGGGTAATTTACCATTTGCATTCATAGTTACCTATTTTGAATGTGCAGTTACATGTTTGTAAAGAAGCATGTTTTGCATGCATGTTTCAAGGCAAATTTTGGAAAATTTGGCTCAAACAACCAAACATAAAATTGTCAATCTTAGCCATTGTCATTTAAACAAGAAAACTAGTCTAAGTCGGAAAGTGTTAGCATACACTACTTAGCCTAGTGTATACAAGCTGTTGGTTTTATGATCAGGTCAGCTTGTCATCCCTTCATGGAGGAGATTCACATTTTAAAATTAATCACTAATTGCAAAGCAGGTTGATGTATAAATGAACAAACAAATTACCCCTTTGACCAAAAGAAAAAGCAACTCTTTGAGCACTTAGTAATTGTTTTTGTCTAAAGCTAATGATCATTGGCTTGTGCTGTGCCTAATAATTAACTTATCCATAGAACATTAACCCACATTTATGTGTCTTCAGTAGCCTGTATTTTAATTCATGCTATTTCTGGTTTGGTTATCACACTTGCTTTAAATATGTATTGCCCATCGCTTTAAATATGTATTGCCCATCACCTAAAATACCTTGCTTTGATCAAAAACTTAATTTTAACCTTATAATAATTTTTGTATAATAGTTGCTAAGTGCTTGTGATAAAGATGTAACTTTCTGTAGTGAGCTGAGTTGCCTTTCAGGGTTAGAAAAGTATGATCATTCCTATCAAAACCACAACAGGTAAACTAAGGAAATCCTGCTTGGCAAACAAGCTGGAATTTTTCTTCTGAGTTGGTCTGTTTCACAGACAGCAGCCTTTCCTTCGGTCAGTGTAGTGATACGTGTGGATAATCTTCCTTTCAGCTATTTTGCCGGACAGACATTGTCAAACCTTAGGGCTAATTCCTGCAAGGTACTGAGAGCTCTCGACTCCCGCTGACCTCAATGGAAGTGGAAAGTGCTCATTACTCTGCAGAACGACCCCCTTAGACAACAGGCTTCCCCCCAGCTGGAGGTGCCTGCACAGTTCTGTGCTCTCCCTCCCTCACCAAAGAACTCCATTCCTGCTCCATGCTTCCTCCCCACCCTAAAATCATCCACCTTTCTGCTGAAACAGCAGCAAAATAAACCTCTACAAAATACTTAGCTTAATGAGTAGCCAAATAGGGGTACAGTAAATTCATTCATCAAAAGTTTTTGGTTTGTTGTTTCTGTGCCTATGCTACTGATGTTTTTCTTGCTGGTTAAAATGTACATATCTGAAAGTGACAAAATAATAATTACAAAAAACTGAAGCTGATTAAAAAAATCAGGTCTTCCTGAATGTCATTTTTTGAGTTGGATTAGCAAATGGATTAAAAAAAGAAAAGAAACATTTTAAAGTGCTTCATTGGGCAATGTGAGCTCACATTCCACTGATGTCCTTATCTACTTTTCCCCATTCCTTGAACTTTATGTGTGAACTTAGGGAGAAGAGACTCTTTATAAATCTCACTACTTCAGGTAATGCCCAATAGCGCTCAAACATTTTTGAAGGAACCCACTTGACAAATAACAGTTAAAGCATGTAATATGCAAGGGTTTTGTTCTCCAGTAACTCCAGCAGTTCACTGCCACTCTAATTAATCTGTACATTATCTTCCAATAGATTTCAAATGAAAACCCACTTGGCAACAGGAGAATTTAGAGAGAGAGAGAGAGAGAGAGAGAGAGAGAGACACACACACACACACACACACACACTACTTAATCG